CAGACTGTGGTACTTTCTTACGCAGCCTGAGCTGACTGACGCACATGCGAAGGGAGGGAACAGGTGGATACAATTTAGATACATCTAAAAGAGCCCAATGCTGGTCGGAGGAAGTTCATTCATGGCTGTCAGGAAATAGGAGGCAAGCTTGTCTATGGCAATGAAAGAAGGGCCAGGAAGGTCAGGAACACAGACATCAGGGAGAGCCCACAGGTGAGGATGTTGGACATGTGGGGATTCTGAAGAAGACAGGAAAACAGGAACCCTGGCAGCAGGGTGGGCTGGGACTATAGCACATGGCCAAGAAAAGACGTTCTTGCCCCAAATGCCCCCTGGAATCTGCCGGACACAGAACATTGAGGTTGAGTGGGCCCCAGGATATTATTATTTTCTGGAGTCCACATGAATGCCAAGTAGCCCTCTGTTTGTAATGTAAGCACGTAGATAGGATCTGAGTGTTGTGGGTTTTACCCTGGGCTGCAGGTTGTCCCAATGCCTGAGTGAAGGTCAGTGGTGAGAAATCTCAGCTTGCTAAAGGCAGGAAAGTGAGGAGCAAGTCAGGGGACATTGGAGGGCACTTGCTGTGATAGTGAAACTCTAATCCTGGTTATGAAGTCTAGGCTTCCAAGTGGGGCGCCCTTCCTCCTCCCTGGGCATGGAGGAAGCTGTAGGGCATGGATAATGGGAACAGGGTGCATGGAGGAAGGCCCCATGGGAGCACAGAAAGGTGGGTCAAAGCTAAGAGAAGGAGCCTCTTAAAGAGTTTGGAAGGTGTAACCTCCAGGTGATTGATTTTATGACTCCTCAAGTTCATCTCTGGGGCCCTTAATAAAATGGCATGTGTAATTCAGTATTTATTGTATGTCTTATAAAGTGATTAGATTAAACTGAAATTAATGTCACTTTGAGGTTTGGGAGAAAATTTTGTGACAGCCCCCTTGGGCACCAGAAACCAGTGCAGGCCTCTTTCTAGGAGCAGATGTGGGTGCTTGTTAGGAATCCCAGGGTTGGGTCCTCACACCATGTCTGGGTGAGTGGCCCTGACAAATGGCTTCACCCCTCTTGGAGCCTGGGCTTCTTTCTCTGCATGATGAGGGTTATGAGAAAAAAGTCGGATGGTGCTGGCAAGGCTCTGGCAGGGTATCTGGTATGAAGTGAGTGCTCGATAAAGGAAGCCTTCATCATCATTATCATCATCATCCACATTAATTTTAGAGAGAGCGACAGTTTTCAAAAGGAATCCACAAATATTTCCCCCAGAAAATGAGAAGGTGATTTTTCTGGCAGATAAAAAAAATCCCAGCGAGCCTCCTCTGAAGAGTTGTCCAGAGCCAGCTCCTCAGGTGACCCTTGCAGGTCTTCCTAAAATCCTGCTCCCCTGGGTTGCCACAGAGCCTGTCAGCGCCCTGGAGGCAGCAGCACCATGTGCCAGACGGCTGTGCCAAGACTTTTTCTGTTTCTGAGCTGTCCACTGAGGTAGGATGGAGAGAGGAGGGAGGCCAGAGAAGATTAAGCCCATTCTTGGCACCAGTCATTTTGTCTGGAAGTGTCTGTTCATCAGGTACACATGTTCTGTCTTCGGCTCCGATTCCCTGTCACCAATCCCACCATCTTGAATCCCATATGCAACAAACCCCTATTGTTAGTTCTGCTAATGCATTTCCCCTGAAACAGGACAAGCTTCGAGGCAGCAATTCTTGACCAGGGGCAGTTCTTCTCTCCCTGCCTCTCAGACAACATTTGGCAATGTCTGGAGACATATTTCTGTTGGCACAACGCAGAGAGGTGCTACTGGCTTCTGGTGGGTAAAGGCCAGGGATGGTGCTAGATGGCACCCGATGTACAGGATCCCCCATAACAAAGAATTCTGTAACTCTCCTCTCTCCACCGTGTCCCCACTCTTCCTACCCTATCACTTCCTCCAAGCTGAGAGAGGAGCTCACTCCCTTCCTGGCACCCTTTGCTGAAAGCCCAGATTTAATATCCAGGGTTACAGTGTCAAAGTGAAGAAACCCCACTTGAAGGGGAAAGTAGCTCTCTACACCCCATTTAACTCACTAAGGTCATGAAGTTGGCAGTTTGCCAGATGCCACAGATTAAAAAGCCCTTCCTTGAATGACTGTTTTTCATTTACTTGACACAGTTATGTACAATTTTGTAAGTAATGATTGCCTTCAGGATGTCACTGTTTATTACTTGGTGCTATAGGAAAGTGCCACAGCTTATGACACGCATTCATTCACTCATTCGCTCTTTCACTCAACCAACACACTCACTGAGCTCCTCCTTACACTGTGGCAGGCTCTAGGGATAGAAGATGAATAAGACAACATCTCAAAGTGTGTGTATTGGGGAGGAGGAGGAGTACAGATATGCTAGTGAATAATATCAATATCGTTCCAGGGAAAAGTCCTCATGAGCTTCAAGGGGGTGGGATAGCAAAGGGAGGTAAGACCATGTTTCTATGGAGGTCTCAGAAAACTGGCCCCTTCAGTCATCATCACTTTCTGGTTTCCATTTGCAAGGGACCCTCCTGACTCTTCCCTATATGGAAAGGCGAGGGGACAGGGTAGGTAGCAGTAAAAAGCAATTTGGCTTAATGATGTCCCATTAGGAAGATGTCCATGATCTTACTCAATGGGGGGGGGGGGCAAAATGAATAAAAATTTGTTGGGATGCCTGGGAGGCTCAGTGGTTGAGCATCTGCCTTCGGCTCAGAGCATGATCCCAGGGTTCTGGGATCAAGTCCAGTATGGGCTCCCCATAGGGAGCCAGCTTCTCCCTCTGCCTATGTCTGTCTCTCTCTCTCCCTCTCTCTCTCTCTGTGTTGCTCATGAGTAAATGAAATCTTTAAAAAATAATAACTTTAGGGGCAACTGGGTGGCTCAGTGGCTGAGTGTCTGCCTTTGGCTCAGGTCGCAGTCCTGGAGACCTGGGATTGAGTCCCACATCGGGCTTCCCACGTGGAGCCTGCTTCTCCCTCTGCCTGTGTCTCTGCCTCTCTCTCTCTCTGTCTCTCATGAATAAATAAATAAAATTTAAAAATAACTTTAAAAAATTGTTTAAATGCCCTAAATCTCCAAATCAAATGTCTGACCATTCAGAGTCAAAGAAACAGAAGGTAAGCAGGGTTTCAAAGGCTGGGAAATACTCCAACCAAAGTAGGTCAGTTCCATTCTTATTTATTAAAGGAATTCTTGCCAAGACGTATGAGACCTCAGGTCCAGATAACCCCATAAAACGCCCAGAGGACCGAAACTTATACACAGGAAACCATCTTGGGATAATACAAAGCAGGACATGAGTGTATGAAAATGACATGTAAAGACAAAGGACATAAGGAAGCATTGCTATGGGTGACTGAGATCAAGAGAGCTGGGTTCTAGTCCCAGCTCCACCGCTAACTTGCTGATTTGGGGCAGGTCTCTTTTTTTCTGTGGTTCTCAGTGTGCTCATCTGTAAAATAAGGGAATTGGACCAGAGCATCATGAAAAGCCTTCCAAGGCACACTGAAGATTCAAAGCAAGTGGAAGCTTTCATTGCCCCCTCTGCTTATTCCTGACGTAACCTGGGGATCCCCTTGAGATTAAAAATGTGGGTTGAACCTCAGTCCTGAAGCTCAGCCACACGTTGGTTTCTTCCGACAACCTCAGGGTTAAGCAGTAGGTGGGGAAGGTCATAAGGAAGAAGCTACTGCCTCTCTCATCCTGGGCACTGAATAGCAACATACCTAGAGGCGTTGAATTGTCCCCAGTGTCCTGAGTGGTATTTCCCCAAGTTGGGAGTTCAGATTAGTGAGGGGGTACTATTGCTCTAGCACTTTCCGACACCAGCACTGCCACGGATGAGAAGAGACTCCAGGGTTACAAGGGAGCTGGGAATGAGAGTCTCACATCCCACTCTTCCAAACTACTGCTGCTGGAATGTCACAGAGCTGCCCGAGGGGCATCCCCTGAGTATGAACACTCCCATCAGCTCTGGCGGTGAAGGTTTTTCTTATAATCAAACAGGAGAGGACTACTGGAAGGCAAGGTCATTTGGACATCAGAAAGGACTCACCCAGGATGGAGACTGGAGACTCAGAATTAGGTCCCCAAGCACTTTTCCTGGGGAGTTTCTTAGGACAGGGGCCTTGAGGGCCAGTTTGGAATGCTGGTGGGAAGAAGTGGTTTTGGAAATCTGCACCCCCTGGGCCCTCCTCCCACCCTACCCCCCAACCCCCCCCACCACCATTCCTTCCATCCAGGCTATCTGGGTGCAGCCACTCATTCACAAATCCCAGTGGGAGAGGCTCTAGAGTCCAAGGAGTTTCTGTAGGAAAGGAAAACAAGCCACCCACTTTGCCTTTCTCTTTTCTTTTCCAGCTCCTCCCTGGATAGGGTTGGCAGGGACCAGCTACTCCCAGGACCCCCTCAGACAGACTTCAGGGAGCCAAATCCCAAAAGAGAGGGAGGGAGCTGTGAACCGTCCCCCCACAGACAGACCCAGAAGCTCCAGCCAGAACTTTCTGAGGTTTCCCTCGGAGTGTGTGTGTGTGTGTGTGTGTGTGTGTGTGTGTGTGTGTTAAAATGTCAAGGCTTTGGGACCGAAGGATGTGGGTTCCAAACATCTTTTCCTGGGGCAAGATTTCTGGCCTCTTAGAGTCCCTGTTTCCCAGTCCCTAAAATCGAGGGTGACAATATCGACCTGGAAAGCCGATCGTGAGGTTTCAATGAAAGAATGGAGGCGGCGTGCCCGGCACACAGTGGGCCCTGCCAGGGGCGCGGCAGGGCTTCCGTCGAGGCACAGCCCGGAGGAAGGGGTCGGTGTGCAGACGGGAGGGGGGCCAAGCCCGCCTTCGCCAGACGCACCTGCTCTTCATTCTGGGGGAAGAGGCTACCTGGAGAGGAGATGGGGGCGGGGCACGGGGTGTCAGAGTTTCCCCCTCTTCCGCGGAAGATCTGGGGACCCTGCAGGCCCCCCTGGCGTGGGACGGGGCCCACGAGGGGAGCGGTACTCACGGCGTGCGCGGCGCAGGCGAGCAGCAGCAGCAGGCGGGGACGCATGGTGCCCTGCGCGCTCCCGGGGGCGCCTCGACGGCCGCCCGTGTGCGCCCCGCGGCCCCGGGGGCTCAGCGCCCTGCGCAGGGGCCCGCGCCCCGGCCGGCCGCCGCGTGCGGAGGAGCCCTGCGGGGCGGCCCACCCGCCGCGGCCCCGGGACTGCTCCTCCTCCCGGAGGTGGCCGCGCGCTACGCCGCCCAGCCCATTGATAAGGCGCGGGCGCCCGCGCTCCTCCAGCCGGCCCGACTGGCAGCGGCCGAGCAGGCGGAGGGGGGCCCGGGCCGGCGGTGGGGGGTGGGGGTGGGGGGCGGAGGCCCCGGGAGAGGCAGCCCCCCGCCCCCCGAGTCCCGAGGGCGCGCTCCCTGGCTTCTGCCGCGGCCCCGCCACAGCCCCGCTGCCGCGGAGGGCAACGTGCGCCCCCCTTCTGCGTCTCGCATCGGTTGATACCCGCCCCCGGGTTGAAGGGAGGTTGAGCGGCTGCTCCTGGATGCAGATCGCATCTGCTGGGGCGGGGTGGGGGTGGGGGGGGTAGCTACTTGGCACTTCCTTTCTGATTTTTCACTTTATATTTCCTCATTATTGAGGGACCCCTGGGTGCTCAGTCTGTTGAGCGTCCGCTGTTGGCTCAGGTCATGATCCCAGGGTCCTGGGACGGAGCCCCACATCGGGCTTTCTGCTCAGAGGGGGAGCCTGCTTCTCCCTCTCCCTCTGCTGCTCTGCTTGTGCTCTGTCAAATAAATTCTTTTTGAAAAAAATAAAGTCATTCTAAAAAAATAAGGTCATAACGCTCATTTCTAGGGAATTTCATTCCCCTGAGCACCATCACACGAGGAAGTTCGGATGATCAGGTGAGACGGGAAAGGACCCCGTGGTACACCCAAGGTGTTATGGGGGCTGAGCTGAAGATGAACCCCTGGAGGCTTTGTGCTTCCTGGTGTCCCTGTGAAGCTATTTAAGCACCAGGCAGGTCTCCCCAGTAGCTGCTCAACCAGAGTCTGAGTGCCTAGACGACCTGGAGGTGGGCTTTTAGCCTCTCAGTACTGGGTACCCTCAAATGACTCTTACAGGCCCAGTTTTTTCTTTCTTTGTTTTTGTGCCCACTCCTCTTCTCTTGGTTCTCCTATCTTGACCTTTCTCCCAGCACTTTAAGTACACATCAGCTCCTTGAATTCCCCCCCAAGCCCTTTAGTCATAATATGCCCATTTGATAGAGAAGGGTATTGAGGGTGCAGGAGGATCAACCATGCTGCTGGGTACCTGTGACTCAGAAGGTCAGATCAGAAAGCCTGGCTACCCCTGGTACCCTGATTTTCTGTGACTGACCTCTGGTCAGATGGCTAACCTGCTTTTTTTTGTTTGTTTAGCTAACCTGCTTTTAAAGCAGCATATGCTAGTCCTTAGCGGCCTTCCTCACCTGAAAAAGCTATTGATAGGGCAAGGCTGGTAAATCAGAGTAAAAATAAAAGGGAGAAAGAACTTTCAGCTCTCAGGTCCACAGTCAATACCCAGGGTATATCAGCCTAAAGTATACAGAAAAATGAACTCAATTTAAAAAAAAAAAGATTTTATTTATTTATTCATGAGAGACACAGAGAGAGAGGCAGAGACTTAGGCAGAAGGAGAAGCAGGCTCCCTGCAGGGAGCCCAATGCAGGACTCAATCCCAGGACCCTGGGATCGCGACCTGAGCCAAAGGCAGATGCTTTACCACTGAGCCACCCAGGTGCCCCACATGAATTCATTTTTAAGAACTTTTCCTACGGAAATACTCACCCAAAGATTCAATGAAATATGTGCAAGGATGTTTGTAGAAGCACTAGTACAGTAGTGGAGAACAGGAGATAATGTATGTGGAAGGGGAACACTCAACCCCACCCTTGATTTCCTTCCTCCCGGAGTGCATCCATTAGTATAATCCTCCTGACCTTTCTCTACTCCCTCATTAAGGCTCTCCCCCTAACACACACACACACACACACACACACACACACACACACACACACACACAGAGGTAGAGAGAGCTCTATGTGATTCACACATATGTGGTAAGGACTTGCATGAGGTTCTGCACTCCTGCCTCCCTTTGACAGCTCCCTCATCTGCAGAGAGCCTGTAAGTGGATTGTCCCAGCGGACTCATTGCTGGTCAAGGCTCTGCCTGTGTGTCACCAGGGACAGTGGTAATTCTGCAGTTCAAAGTCAGAAAACCCACTTGCCCTCAAGTATAAACGCAGTCTCCCAGATGAACGTTATCACTCATGAAAGTGCTACTTGACCTCATCTGTCTTAATCTTATTTCTTAAATGAGTCAAAATTCAGGCTGGAAAGAATGTTGCTTCCCTGGCCCCTTAAGCCCCAACACCCTAAACGTACATCAGAAAAACCACGCCGTAAGGACTTGCCATTTTTACTGTATAGACCTCTGTGTTGTATTTTCTATAACCACTGTATGCATTGGTTTTTTGATGGGAAGAAATTTCAAGAAAACAGTACAAAAACGGAATCTGTGCTCTATACCAGAGCCTCATGATCTCCAGGAAAATAGCAGAACCACATTGGTTCTATGCAACTTAATAAATTTCTGGCCTGTGGCAAGCCATTCTTCCTTAAATGGGAGGCTCTGCCTCTCTGAGTATTGAGAAAAGGGTCTGAGGTGCTCCATGAGAAGCCCATTTTCAAGTCATGGATGCAGTTAGTGGCTTTGTAAAACCTGCCTGAGAAAATGATTTCATAACAGGGGTGGAAGGAAAGAGGTTGGGAACTAACAATGTTTTTAATACCTGCCATGTGCTAGAGACCCTTTTTAGGCATTTGGAGTGTGTTACCATAGCCAATCCTCCAGGACTATATGAGAGATATTTACTTTCCTTGATCAATGAGATGGGACCAGCTAACAAGGGGCAGGGGCAGGATTTGAACCCAGGACTGAGCTCAAAGCTCCTGCCTTTATCTTTTGTACTGTACTAGGATTCTTGTCCGTCATGAAGATGACTTCCTTACTCTTGGGCTTCCAAAGTGCTTTTGTATGCATCATCTCATTTGTCCCTTAAAACAGCCCTATGAGGTTGGCAAGATCAGCAGCCATGGCCTGGCAGGAGACGGAGAACCGATGGCATGGGTGGTTTCACAAGTGTTTAATGAAAGGACAATGGAGGTGTAGTGCTGTGGGCAAGGTTAAGGGAGCCAGTGAGGGACAGTGAGGTAGCAGGGACTAGCAACTAGCAAGTAGAGGGCAAAGACTCTCCCCTTGACAAAACTTGAGCTTAACTCCTCAGAGCCCTATTCTCACCTAGGCCTGGATCTTGGCCCCCTCTGTCTCTGGCCTGCCCAGCCCGGTCTCAGCAAGAGTCCCACCGTCCTCAGCTTAGTAAGAATTCCTCCAACTCTTTTCCCCCCCTCCAACTCTTGATAGCTGACCATCTTTGATATCTGGTCAAGTTCCTCATTCCCCACCTCTGCTGTCTCAATCTGGCCTGCCTTCAGCAAGGATCCTGTTAAGTCCTGCTAGCAAGAATCCCCCACTCTTGATGTCTCCTCTTAGTGATCTTCCATCCACTGCCCCCTCATCCTGCTCCTAGGCCATAAATCCCCACTTGTCCTTATTGTGTTCCAAATTGAGCTGGGTCTCTCTCCCCTATTGCAATACCCCTTTACTAACTGTCTTGAATAAAGTCTTTCTAACCATTTTAACAAGTGTTAAAATGTTTTCTTTAACAAGGGGCAAGGAGAAAAAGCAGCATCCCAGAAGTTGGCAAGAGCTGTCCTAGAGTCACCCTAGGAACTTAACCAGAAAGGGATGTGGCCACTGTTAAAACTGCAGCCCTGGAAGGGGGTTAGGTGGTCAGATAAATACCCTGACTTCTCTTCTCCTTGTCCACTGATCTCCTGGTGATGTCTCCATTAGCTGAACACAACCCAGTGCCAGAGACAAGACAGGCATATGAGAAATAGAGAAACTATCCATACAGTTTACCTGCTGGATGGAGAAGGGAGAAAATGGATTTGGGAAGGAAGAGGCAAAAGGAGAAAGGATAGCCCCACTTGGAAATCTTATATCCATTTAACAGATGAAGAAAAAGAGATGTGATGAGACTGTAACTCAACAATCACACATTTGGGAGGTAGGCTTGCTGGTACCAGAACTCTGGACTGTGGGTCCCCAGCCTTGAATTGCTTCCATCCCACACCCCTTACACCCAACTCTAGTGATGGAAAACCTCAGCAATTATTTATTATCATTTCACAGTTCTAGGGTTGACCTCAACCAGGCAGTTCTCATTCAGAGTCTCTCCCCAGGGCACCTGGGTGGCTCAGTTGGTAAAGCGCTGACTCAGGTGGCTCAGATCATGATCTCAGGGTCATGGGGTTGAGCCCTGGATTGGACTACAAGTTCAGTGAGGAATCTGCTTGGGACTCTTTCTCCCTCTCCCTCTGCCCCTTTCCCCATGCTCTCAAATAAATAAACAAATCTGAAAAAAGAAAAAAAAAGTCTCCAAGGGTTGCAATCAGACAGTGGCTAGGACCAGAGTCACCCTAAAATGTGCTCGGTCAAATAAATGTCTGGGGCTGGAGCAACAGGGGCTCCTCATGTGTCTCCCACTGTTCTGTGTGCTTTCTCCACATGATCTTGGTGACAGAGAGCTTCGAGAGTGGCTCATGATCACAAAAGTGTGCATCCCAAGAAAGAGCATGTGGAAACTGTATTGTGATTGATGATGCAGCTTTGGGAATCACACAGTGCTGCTTCTGTTGCTTTGAATTGTCCATATTACCAATTGATCTATCATAGTTGCTAACTCAGAAAAGGTACTGGTGAGCCCTGGCACGCTCCTCAGCCAACTGGTTGGTAGGGTGGGGATCCAAAGACGGGCGGACAAATTGAAAGGAGAGCTCCTGGCTGGGTTTGCTAGCATTATTGTTCAACAAACTCCGATAAACTCGTGGCAAGAGAAGCCAATAACTCAAGAGATGAGAGTTTGGAAAAAAGAAAGGGAGAAATTTATTTTGGGTGCCTGCAGCAGCAGGGAGGTAGCAGGCTCAACCAACCTTTCCAGCCCTCAAGATGTGATGTGATTTGATGTTTCAGTCCAGGAGCAA